AGACCTACAGATCGAACCCCTGCTGCCTGTGGACCTACGACAGGCCTACCAACTGCCTACGAATACACAGGTCACAGGTTCAATTCCCGGGGTCTACACAGATACTGTACATGGGTAGGGTGAGGTCTAGGGATCGAACCCCGGGTCTGCATCCGCTACTGCTAAAAGGTGAAAACCGTTTCAATACACTGCTTTCCAGCCATGAGATAGAGAGAGGCTACTTCCATCGATAGGATGAGCAAAATCGGAATGAATCTTCCGCTAGAATATGGAAATATACACTGAAATATACACTGCCACTTTCTTTTACTTCTTTTTTTTTTTTTGTGCGTGCGTGCGTGTGTGTGTGTGTGTCTGTGTGTGTGTGAGAGAGAGAGAGAGACAAAACAAACGCGTCAGGCGCGTCAGACAAAAGCAAAGAAAACTAAAAACAATAAACAAAAATCACCGCAACTTGGAACCCCCCACTCGATGGCTACTACAGGCTACTTTAAAGGATTCGAACGCCCGACCTCTTTTCCAAAAGTAACGATAAAAGAAAGCAAAACTCAAAAAAACAAAACGAAACGCTCCCCCGAAACAAAACAAACGCGTCAGGCGCGCCGCGTCAGGCGCGCCGCGTCAGGCGCGCCGCGTCAGGCGCATCAGAATTTTACATTGGACGTCTCACTGAAAACAATCGCGCGTCAGAATTTTACATCGGACATCTCACGCTACGCGATGCAAAAAACACTAACATGGACCATCGCAGAAGCGAGAGTCGCAAAAAACACTAACGTGGACCATCGCAGAAGCGAGAGTCGCAAAAAACACTAACGTGGACCATCGCAGAANGAGAGTCGCAAAAAACACTAACGTGGACCATCGCAGAAGCGAGAGTCGCAAAAAACACTAACGTGGACCATCGCAGAAGCGAGAGTCGCCCCGCGGCCTACTAAGTTTTATTAGGGTTATTAGATTATCGACTTGCCGGGGGAAAGGAACCGGACTGTCACTCCCCAGAATGGTAGGAGCCAGACCCATAAGGTTCTGTTTTTTGGGGAAAAAAAAAAAAGGTCTTAGGAACACAGAAAAGCTGAGAAAAAGAATCGACAAAACCACCACCACTACACAGACGTTCTGTACACCGCCAGATTTTCTGCAAGATTCATGGCACATTAACAAACGATGATGGTTGGTCGGGATGATGGTGTGTGCATAACATTGTGCGTACCTTCGAGGAAGGCCATACCGATCCGATGGCCACAAAAGCGCCTGGCTTTTCAACACCTACTTCACACTTGTCACCCCCTCCAGACTGCGGCCTCCCAACTGCCACTCGGTACTCCATTGCGCAATTCATGTGCAGCGATTGGGAGTGCATGTCCTGCTCGCTTAAAGGCCCACCAGTTGGGCCCAGGGAGACCTGTCCCGCAGAAACATACATCCATCTATGGGCACGTGAGACATCGGACGAAGAATGACAAGTCAGAAGCAAACAGCACAGCAAAGGGAACACAAAGCAATGGGGAAGATCGTTTGAAGGCCACCAGTTGGGCCCAGGGAGACCTGTCCCCCATAACCATACATCCATATATGGGCACTTTGAGACGTTGGACAAAGAACAATATGCCAGAAGCAAACAGCACAGCAAAGGGAACACAAAGCAAACAGCACAGCAAAGGGAACACAAAGCAAACAGCACAGCAAAGGGAACACAAAGCAAACAGCACAGCAAAGGGAACACAATAAAAACAGCACAGCAAAGGGACACAAAGCAAAGGAAAACAGGATTGAATGCGGGCAATGAGCTTGATTCCCTGCGGCCCCTGTGGTGTGCTTTGGGTTCACCAGCTCAGATAGTTGGCTTTCCCCCCCCCGGCTGGTCTTGGTAGGGGCTTTCCCTCCATCCCTTCCATCCCTCGCCAGGGGTTAGGCTTATACCGAGAGGCTAGTATTTGATACTTGTGGACCAATCGACTCCTGTTAGGTAGTGTGAGGTCTATTGAGGGACGAGTATAGCTTAGTTTTTTAAAAAAGGAAAAAAGAGAAAGAGAATGCTGGCAATGAGCAAACCACAGGGTTGTCCTCCACAGGTACCAGTGCTGAAACACGTGATGAATGAATGTCTGATCTCCACTCAGATCCAACAGTTCTCAGGCACACGCACCACCGTCACTGGCGTCAATCAACCCACTGCTGACTGACATCAGTCCAGCCCTGAAAGAACAGAAAAGGGAAGAAAAATAAAGGACCCCGTTTTCAAAAGAGAAAATCATGTCAAATGGGAGAAACCAGGTTACAAACACTGAATGGAGCAAATCAACCAACATGCATATAACTTGCTACAAGTCTCATATGTATAGTCCAAGACTTGAAACGTTGATAGAAAAGTTGGACAATACTCGAGTTGGATAAGATTGGACAACAATCGAGTCTGATCATTTGAAAAAGGACAAAACCACCGTAGGATAAGGCAATAGTCGAAAAGTTAAAATGTGCCTAGCTCAGTTGGTAGTACTTGGTACGCCACCTATCAACAGTTGACATGCAGACCTGAGTTTGAATCCAAACGGAACTTTTTGAATGACAAGGATACTGACTGTGGGTTCAATTGGGAGGACGACGGTATTAATGTTACCAACCAGGCTGACGTCATAAGTATGCACACCTGCACAACAGCTGTCCGGTTGGGATGATGCTATCCAGATCCAGCAAGACGGTCACACAGGTCTCTGGGCAAAACGCGATCCGCGGAACTTTCATCGGATTGCCCAGCCACAGGGAGGCTTCTGGTCCACAGATCACTGGTCATCTAGATCCGTTGTTCCTCGTGCCCTTTGAACTTGACTTGCCAAAGAAGAGAGGTAAAGCGAAGACTATGGTAGGATTTTCTTTTTTGACCGACCAGCAGAATAGGGACAACATATAGGCATTCTGTCTGTGTTGAATAACCCGCAATGCGAGTATGAAAAGCCTCTGATTGTGTTAGGCTGGTTGGCATTCATGCTTGCGTTGCATGCTATTCGACATAGACATAATAGGGCTTCGCTCCACTACACAACACTCAATATGCATTTGGACGCTTCCCAGACATGATAATTTGAAATGTTGGACTCGTCCGGATGCACCTGCTCCAGAAAGCATCCAAATGCACCTACGAGTGTTGTAGTGCAGCGAGGCCCAGTGCCTATGCTTTCCCACTACTCTGCTAACCAGTTAAATAGCACACAACGCAAACAAACTCCTGATAAGAATAACGGTAATTAGTATGCCACAGCCATAAAAAAAACACTTTACACACCCTCTCACCCACGGTATGAGTATGGGCAGGGGGCAGAACGGGGGGAAATGGACGGGGGAGGGGGAGGAGAGGGGAGAGGGGAGAGGGGAGAGGGGAGGAAATGGCACGTCGAAGAGAGAAAGAATGTGGGTCAGAACAATACGTTGACCGTCCTTCAATAATTTATCATAACTATATAAATATAATGTCGCACATAGGTGTTTATCGGGGTTGCCATTAAGATTTGATATTTGGATCTGCTGATCAACAACTTCGCAGGAGTAAGTCTTTTTGTTAATTCTGTTTCTTCACTTCCATCCTCCACGCTCGTTCATTGCCACCGCTCCACAGAGACAAGGATCAACTTTAACGACGAGCCTAGCTCAGATGGTATGTGACGTACCAGCTTCCGTACCCGAACGAACTTCTGAAGCCCCGAGTTTTAATTGTTCTGATTCTTCAGATTTCTCTTGGGCTCTTTTTGGGTACCCCTTCTTTTTGCCATCTCCTCAGTGCATGGAATCGCGGACCAACCAGGCCCTCTAATGTCTAAGACGACGTTTCTTTCGGATTTCTTTGCAATTTCCTTTCGGCAATCCATGCATCTACGTAGGAATTACACGTGCCTTAGCGAGCGCACTAGGAATTTTGCTCGACAGTTAGGAACTCCGAAAATTACGGGCGCTCTTCCCGCTGACGTGTCTTTTCTTGCAAATGAATGTTCCCGCACGCGCCCTTGAAAAATCTGTGAATTTTCTGTAGGAAGCTAGATAGACGTAGGACTTTCGTGCGCTCAATTCTGCGCGCTGATATTGCTTTTGAATTTTTCAATCTTGAAGTGGCTTTAGAACCAGAATGGATGAAGCATAACTGTTTCGGTGCCTTTTTCTTTTCTGCACCAGCGCCATGCATGCAAGCTTTCCCCTCTTCCCACAAGGACCCATGCCATCTTCACCCTCCTCTTCGCGCCTTCTCTCCTACACCTGTAACTGTTTTCCATCCCCTCCCCCTTCGCGCTTCGCCCTTACTCCTTCTCGTCTGAATATTGGTCCCGCTCCTCGCTGCTTTTCGCGCTCTCCTCCTTCCCGCCTTCATCCCCATACAGGAACTCCCTAACGATCTCCTCTTACGATTTTCGAGTTGTCAGACGACATCGTGTAAGGAGGATATTTCCCGCACGTTGTTATCTGATTGGCTGCAAAGAAACTCGCGGGGATCTATATGGCTTTCCCTAGGCGATTAACCCAACCTCTCTCTTCACCCCCTCCTATCTCCACCCCACTCTTCCCCATCTTCTATTCCTCTCCTCGCAACTACAAAACCCACAAGCGCATCCGAAAAGCTCTCTCTCAACCCATTTGCCAGCTTCAAGGAAGTCGTGGCTAGGTGATGTGCAAGTAGCGAGTCGAAAAGTCCTGTCGAGCCGAGTGCAGTGTATGCATGACTGTGCATTGGGTGGCTGCGACGAACTGCGGGATCTGGGCAAGTTGGTGCAAAGGCTGAGTTGGCGGGGTGACGATTATTCTGGTTTGGAGGTCGGTACGTGGCGGTCGAGATCGTCCGTACCTGAGTGAAAAGAGTGTGCGTGTATGAGTGGTTGCACGGCTACGGGCCATTATCAGAGAGCAGAAGGGTGGTGCGCTTGGTTTTCAGATTCTTCTTCCTTTGGTTCTTAGAAGCTAAGTTCACGGGTGCTCCCCATCAAGATCATCTGTATGACCAGAGTTCTTTTCCTCTCTCCTCATTTTTCTTTTTCGGTCAAGCTACGCCTCTCTCTCTCTCTCTCTCTCTCTCTCTCTCTCTCTCTCTCTCTCTCTCTCTCTCTCTCTCTTTCTCTCTTTCTCTTGTTCCCTTGCTCTTATCAATCCGATGAATGCCAAAATGACTCGAGATTTCCTTGATCTCGCTAGCCTCTTGAATTCAATCGGATCTCGTNCAATGGCTGGGGTATACCCCAGCGGACTGACGGGACTGGACTGGACTGGCTGGTACCGACAGAGGTACTGGCCTGGACTGGCCTACCCTGAATACCTGTCTCTTATACACATCTAGATGTGTATAAGAGACAGCTCTCCCCCCTTTAGTCATATCTATGTGATGAATGCCAAAATGACTCGAGATTTCCTTGATCTCGCTAGCCTCTTGAATTCAATCGGATCTCGTACGAACAAGCATCATTGAACTCAAAGGGACCAGTAAGCTCCAAGAGATCTTATCGGTTTTCTTTTTCGGTTGATTGATGTGTCTCTCGAACAATTGAGGATTCGTGTATGTAAGATGTGTTACACATGTGCATTGATTGGGCTACCTAACCTAAATTATGGGAATGCATGTGTGTCGCTCCCTTGATGAATAATGATGGTTGTTGTGATTGGATCGAACTCACACTTCTCTTTTTGATCAATTCGTCGGATGGAAGAAATGCAATAAAGCCCATAGTATCGCGACTGATTACTTTTGTGATTGAACAGTCGATTGGGTAGACTCACGTACTCAGAATTTGCTTCTGCCATGTGGACTGGTTATTCCGACCCGACTGGCCACCGACTCCCCGCATCCCCATCGCGGCCATTCCCGTATAACGAGGAAAGGACACGTGTATGCGAGTGGCACGTACGGGAAGCCGTAGCCAAGATCAGCGGACGTTATTATTTTCCACCTGAGACGAGGTGCTCTGGATTTGTTGGCGCTGGCTTTGTCATTATTGATACTCACTTCCCCCGTACTCATTGTCATTGCCTTTAAACGAGTTGATCGTTATCCCGTGGACGGCAGTAGCGTCCCACTGGCCTAACACTCTTTGCAGCGATTTTCACCGCACCGAGCGTTATCGGGAGAAGGGGTTCCACTACCGGACACGTGGTGAGGACGAACACAGCGAAAGCGCGACCAGGCTGAGGCAATCCACGTCGGATTCCAAACTCTATAGAAAGCGAGATCCCACATGTGTACCTTTGCCCTCCATTAGAAAAGACGACGAGTACCTCGCATGGAAGTGCAAAGGTACTTTTTGGATTAAGTGGACATTTGAAAGTAGCGTGCTCCATTTCTTTCCCGCGCAACCATGATCCTTCCTCGCTAAAACTGGAACCACGCGGGGGACTTCAGTTCCATCTGTGTCCCCACACTCAATTTCCCAAAAA